TATATATTATTTTCGACCGATTTTTACTAACATCCAAATTACGTCAAGCAACAGCCATGTCAATGTGTAATTCTCCTGGACTATACGAATGTTATTTGTTTGTACACGAAAAAGCATTTCTGGAGTATGTCTAATATTATCACAATGAAAATTAATTATTTGTAGCAATTCATCCATTATCTGTACTGGGGTTGAGTACACTAACCTTTTCAGGTATCCCCACAGGAAGAAATCCATCGGGTTAAAGTCTGGAGAACGTGGTGGCCTTGAAATTGGGGCTCCTCTCCCATCCATTTATTATTAAACAACAATGGATAAATAATTTCGTACATCAATACTGAAATGGGAAGGAGCCCCATCGTGCATGAACCAAACGTTTCTTCGGGTGTCTAATGGAACATCGTATAATAGTGGCTGCAAATTATTTTACAAAAACTACAAACATCGATGTCCATTCAAACGTTCCTGAAGAACGTATGGACCTATTAAATTATTACCCACTATTTCTGCCCATACATTAATAGTGAGTAATAATTTAATAGATCTATGCGTTTTTGATAAACGACTGAATGGACATCGAGAAGAATACTTACTTTAACTTATTATTGTTCTTTTTTTCTATTTTGTGTAATGTGTAGGGTGTGTTTGTCAAATTTTGTTAGTGAAGATTATATTACCAGACAGTAAGATTGTCTAGGCTCTTATTTTAAAAATATGTACGGTTCTAGCATAGTAATTAAGTCCAATTAAAAAACAATGGTGGAGGCGCCGCTCGATGTGCAATGTGACATAAAATCACAAATATTTCCTAAACTGTTAATTTTACCGAGTTGAACCAAGAGGGTATTATCGTTGATAAATTCCTCAGGGAACTTATTTTTGATGCAAGCAGATTGTCATCGTCATTATGCAAAAATTCTGGGTTGTTAACCATTGGACATAGTCCGTCCCTGGAGTTCTGGGCATAATGAAGTTTCACTTGCAACATCAAAAATAAGCTGTACGCATGTGCTATCGATTACCAAATTTGCATCATGCTGAAGTTAACAGTTTAGAGACTGTAAATGAAATTACTTTTTAATTTTCACCTTTGAGGGCCCGTAACTTGTTAACAAAGGCTCGTATGAAAAAAATTTATATGAAGAACTGATATTGTTTTGACCTCATCTATTTGTACTCGACTTTTTTGTATCAAGTGCCGGAACACCCTGTATATTCTGATAGTCAAGCTGCAATTAAAGCTTTAGGTACATACAAGATAAGTTCAAAACGTATATATACAAGGTGTTTCAGTTCGAGTGAATCAAACTTTAACCACAAATAACTCAATAAATAATTCAGAATTGCCTTATAAAGCAAGGGTCAAGTCTCACCGTTTTCACTGTACAGGGCCGGTACATTGGTCGGTTGTTAAAATCATACTATTTACGAAATATTTATAATAAATTGATTCAAAATTGGTAAAATTTACAAATTTTTGTAGGTCAGTGGCCTAGGAATGGATAGTAAAGTGAGATCTTTTTACTTCAACTTCTACGCCAATGACTTAATAATCATTTGGAATTCATTTTAAGATTCCGATGATCCTTCTACATAAAAACGGTATACTTATTGAAAATCGGTATAGAGTATCGTTTTACCTAAAATCTCAGTTGAAAGGGAGACCGTTCTTCTGATAAGAAATTTAGTTTCTTAAGGATAGGAAATAAATTCTAAATTAAACTAACGACTGGTAAATTCTAAATATAATCTATCGTGTATTATTTATTGCATTCGTAATGTGGTGAATTCCCCCTCTGAGGTCATTTTTTTTGTTGCGCTACAGTGCGGTGGACAGAATAATCAATTGCACCTATAAAATTTCATTTGTGCCATTCTGAAGCAATTATAAGTATTCTTGCTCATTCAGCGGTCCATTTGTTTCAAATAGATATAATTTCTTTAAAAAAATATACCTATATACTAATTTTAAATCTGCGCTGTGTGTCCATTACACTATCCGTACTAACGATTGTCATGAAAAAACAACTAAGCAATGACTAATAACTGATGACTTATCTGTCATCAGGAACTATCATTTTATTTTTAAGATTTGAAATACATCCCTATCCCTATCCCTATTATACGCTTTCACGCGAAAACTACTTAACCGATCATCATGAAACTTTGTACACATATTCTTGGAGGTATTAGAAGTAACATAGAATACTTTTTATTAAAAAAAATATTTTTTACGAAAGATGCGAGCGAAGCCGCTGGTAAAAGCTAGTGTTTGTAACAAAATGGATGAATATTCAAGTCTTATCAGAAGAACGGTCTCGCATTCAACTGAAATTTTCGGTAAAACGATAAGCTATACAGATTTTCAACAAGTATACCATTTTTATGTAGAATTGTCCACAGAATCTAAAAATTAATCTCAAATGATTATTAGGTAATTGGCGTAGAAGTTGGGGTAAAAGAATCCCGTTTTACTACCCATTTCTACGTCACTGACCTACAAAAATTTGCAAATTTTACAGTAAATTAGGCACGTGCAAATGTTGACACCAAACCAAATTTGAATCAATTTTTGTTATAAGCATGCCAAAGATTTCGTCAATAATATGATTTTAACAGCCGACCAATACGGCCCTATACAGTGAAAACAGTGCCCCATGGGGCATTCTCAAACGGCCACCCCATGTGTCCAAAAATTGAAGCAACCGAAAGAATTATTATCGGGCTCACTTGGTAGCTATACGTGTCTTGTTATTATTGAGCTGTAGCCTTTTTAAAAAAATAATTATTATTGGGGGCTGGTAGGGCTGAAATTCACCATGAAAATGAAGGTATCGTGGTTAAAAGTCGCAGAGGTGGTAAAAAAAATTGCAGATAGAGCTTATTCTTATTTATTTTGATCCGTTAAATACAAATCTAACCTTATTTTTGGTCCATATCCCAAGTGTTCGTGCCGTACGAGATATCGAACTTTGAAATTATGTCTTTACTACTCTCAAAATAAAAGAAAAAGAGCCCCAAATTATGGATATTCATTTTGAAAATAACACAAGGTGGAGGATGTGAATATGATTTAATTGTATTATTAGTTTTGGGTGTCCGGAAAGGTCATGTCAAAAATGAAGGGAAATGAAGGAAATAGTTGTAGTACTTCATAAACAATTTTTTCCTATCGGGCTTCGTTGTGGAGTTATTCGCCTTCAAAGGAAGAAGTTTGAAAAACAAATTCTGAATATAACTAAGTCGTTATCATGACAACAATGAAATTTGGGCAATTAAAGTAACTCATGGTACCTAATGTCCAATGTTTAATACGTCTGGATTATACAGGAGCAGACGAAATTATCTATTTAAATTTATACATTTTTGACAGCGTTGCCAAATTCGACATTTTTCTTTCATAGTTCGATCCCTCTCTCACTTTGCTAAAAAAAGGTATTCCGAATTTTATTAACAACATACATTTATTCTATCAAAAATGTGATACTAATATTTTTGTAAAAATCTTGGTTACTACAACTAAAATACCTCCCCTGTATATCCCTTCATTTTTTACGTGGCCTTTCCGGACACCCTGTATATACGGTGACGAGACATTAGACATATTTCAGAGACTCCTCCGAAAATTTGGGCAATAGTGTTTTCGGGCATGCCCTTCTCAACTGAAATAATGGCGTCCACCTAACGCTTGCGGTTATACTGGAAGTTGACGTCATCTTCGTTATTTTAAATGGAACACCCTGCATATTATTACACTGTTTTTGATAGGTATATTTATTTTTTTTCAAAAAAAAATAAAAAAGCACTGCCTAATTCAAAAAGATGTGTATTTTACAATAATAGTTACAGCGATAAAATTTATAGGGGACATAACTAAAACTTCCTGCCTTAATTTCATACAAGGTGGTAGAAAATTAATGCCGAATTTAGTTAACTTTAAACCATCTTAGCTTATTTTTTAAATTGAACATATTTTTGCGCAACCTGATGAACTCTTTCCAATAGTATAATGGTTCCCTATACCTATCTCTTCTGGTTTTTAAGGTATTTACTGATTTTCGGATATGACATAATTTCTTACGAGGATGGCTATGAAATTTTTTGTGGAACTTCAAAACAAGCACCTAATCTGTCACCAGTTTATTTTTGTCAATTTAACACATACAATGAATGTTTATTTGAGTATTATTTATTGTTAAAGAATGGAAAACGTTAACATTTATTCAAATGCTGACATTCTAAATTTATTATTTATTCATGGAAAGTGTCACAAGATAATAAATAGGACTTGCAGGGTATTTAATGACCAATGAGTAGACACATTTTACGAAGAATTTTAAGAAATCAATCAGAACATGGTCGAATTCTGCACATTTTGCCAAAGCCGATAAATTTAGATGAAGGTAACATCGTCAAAATTTTGGCAAATTTTCCAAAATTCCAAAATTGCAATAATATACAGGGTGTTCCATTTAAAATATCGAATATGACGTCAACTTCCGGTATAACCGGAAGCGTTAGGTGGACGCCATTATTTTAGTTAGTTAGTCTAATTTAGTCCGAAAGCACTATTTGTTACGTTTCATTATGTTTAAAACATATAAGTTGTAAATATTAACTATTAAATTTGTGGAACTCATAACTATTGTTCAAAATAATTAATAATAATATTAGCACGTAGTTACGGGGAAAAATATTATATTTTCATTTACAAATTATTACTATTATTTTTTTATATTTATTGGCAATTACTCGTAACTTATGTTCTTGGTTTTGAGCGCTTTATTCTGATTTAAAATGTTGCTTCCAATGAAGGTACATACTCGTTGTTGTTTTGATTTAAACTCTGTGGTTAGAATGGCTCGTATCACGCCGGTACCGAACTACAGCTGATTGCTGGCAGAGTTGCCAAGCATAGTTCGACTCGGAGACTTGTAGTACATTTATTTTATAGAAGAAATATTACTTTATAGTTAGTTTGTTAGGTAAAATAGGTATAATTAAGTATAATTAAATCGTATTCCATTGTATATCACAGGAATAATTCATATTTCTATTAATTCTCTGAAGTTTTGTTTGTCACTGGCGGATATATCTACCAATAAAACTAAGCCTAGTGATTTGGGAATTTTTCGCTCTCTCTCTCGCGAGAAGGCCCGATTTTTTTGGAAATTTCAACTGTGTGTTCGTGTCCGACAAAATTTGTGATTTAAATCATCTTCTACAAAGATTAATATTTGTGGCCAAATACATAGAATTTAGGGGTAGTTAGTGCATTGGATGCAGATATTTTTGGTGTAGACCCCGATTTTACGACTTCTTATGAAGGATTAGTGACACAACACTGTGTGAATTTCGTTCTTCCCAGGAAAAATACGTAAGGTAGGCTTCAATAAACTTTTATTTCAAATCTCAACACTCCTGCAGAGAATTATTAACATTTATTCTCTAAATAAGATTCTAATGTATTGTTTCCTTATCATTAGGGGGTGATAAGGTCCACATTCGTTGTAGATTAGCCGACTAACTAGTTTTGTAAGGAATCCCTTGTTAAGGGTGAGTAATATAATACTATTATTAATATCTCATTTTGTTATAAACTTTTCTCCATGTTTCTTTTTCTTATTTAAATCATTTCTTTCTTAATTACTTTCAGTAAAAATTATTCACGTGGGCAACCGCATTTGGCGACGTTGCCAGATTATTTTTAATTATGATAATTTAAGGAAATAAATTTATTAGATTATAAATAACACGTCGTGGAATAGTTTTACTATTTCTTTTCATTTCCTCCTTTAGGGTTTTTTTGGGACCATACATTATTGGAATATTTCCTGGAAGCTTGATTTCTTTTGTTTTAGAAACTGGACTTCTACGTAACAGCATTTGCAACACTATTGATGTTCCTGTACTTATCCAAATATCTCCTGTGGCAGTATCAGCCAAGGCAATCGGTGCTACCACGTCTACTATTATTCGTCATATCGTAGGAGTTTTGGTACAGTTCCGTGGAAGATCCTCTACCAGACATATTTCTTCGATAATAAAGGATTTCACTCAAGTTTTTGAAACAATAATTTTGCTTTTATTTTTTTTACGCAATGCTTAAATTTTATTATAAAATTAATTTTTTAGTATTATTAATTTGCTATTGCTTAGTAATATTTATTATTTGCTTAGCTTTACTGGCTTAGATCCGATTGTTTGCATGTATGCGCTTTTGTTATTGTTGTTTTTTTTTCAAAATTTTCTTTTTATTTTCGCTTTATTGACTTGATTAATTGACAGCATTTTGTAATACGCTTGCGGAAATTAGGGTACTTACCAGCCTATTTACGGTATACACCTGCTTATGTGTATTTATGCGCATGCGCCTGAGCTCAAGCGACGCCATCTCGAAGACCTACTGCCTATCTTTTGCATTTTGCTTAAATAGATTTTATCTTCCTAATCTATAATCGTTTGCGTAGCTAGTTTCAATATTTGCTTTTGCTATTAATCAAAATACTATTACAATTTTCAGATATTATTCAGTAATTATACAATTAACTGTTATAAGTGTAAATATGTAAAATAAAATATATTTATCTTGTATTGTACTATTATCGTATTTTATTTATCGTCGACCTCTTTTTGACTATTTTCAGAAGTTGACAGTCAACTATTAGGGTATTTATTCGGCTATAGAAAATTTATCTGGCGCCCTGTTTACATCTAGAACCACTCCCTCCTCCATTGAGTTAACCAAATACCCGACGTCAGTATGTATAACCGTGGTATCATAACCTAGTAGAAATACGAGTTGTAGGTTACATATTGCCCAAATTTCCAAAATTAAAATCGAAGGAGTCTCTGAAATATGTCTAATGTCTCGTCACCGTAGGACACCCTTTATATACAGGGTGCTCGGAAAGGACACCTTGTATATTAAACTCGAACTTGGGCGGGCAGAGGCGATGCCACTTGAGCTACAGAACTAGCTTATAAAACAAATGTAGGTATGCTATGTATATAAAAAGATATTGTAGGTAGGTACTTACTTTCTGAGACACAATCTGGTACAACAGATGTTGGTTTCCATGGAATTGTACTATCACATGAAAAAGTTTTTATAGGCTCACCATCAGTAAATCGATATCCTGGATTACATGTAGCAATACACTGTAAACTTTTATCTGCTGGTAAACAATTCAAAGCACCATTATTCGGGGGCTTAAGCTCCCAATCCACACATGGTGTAGCCTGAACTGCCACTTGAAAATAACAAGAAGCTTTATTTCCAAATTTATCTGTTGCTACAACTGTGACATTTTCAAATGCACCTATAGAAATAGTGGCTTTATCTGGAATAAAAGTTATGTGAACCTCTCCTGAAGAATCCGATGCATTTAACCTCCTACGCGTTTCATTAAAATTAATGAAATAACTGTCTTGTCTATCTACCAGTTCAATGACATAACTCTGAGGGCAATTTAGTTGTGGTGGGGTATTATCTACAAATACATTACAATCAAGTACGTAAACAAACTAAAATAAAAAATAATGTGAAAGAAGTCATTTACGCACCTGGAACCGTAATATTAATTTCACAAATTGCTACATTCCCATCAAAGTCATAAGCCACATATTTTACAACTGTATCTTGGAAAATATATACTGGCGTTTTAAAGCTAGCAGGCCGCCTCTCCAGCCTTGCAATACTTCCAGAGTTGTCAACTGCTATTGGTTCAGTGAAATTAATAGGTAGTACACCACCATTGACATCTTTTTGAACAATAATTGGTTGCTGTGGGCAGTTTTGAAATACCGGTGTTTCGTTATCTAAAATATTTAAATTTGATCTTGTTTGATAGGTAGTTGCTACAAATTAGACTTACCCACACATGGAGAATAACCATAATCATAACCTAGAAGAGGATCCGTTTCTGGTTCATCGCAACCCATTAATTCAAATTTCAAACAAGCATTATCCATATAACTTACAATGCCTAGGATGACAAATCTAGCCTGAACGTATTTAGGCAGTGAAATCATTGCCAGTTCTCCATAATTTCCAGGATCACGCATAGTTAAATTAAAATTTGGAAAATATACTACATAGTTTTCATGATCAGCTTGTTTGTAGAAAAATCTTATTTCAGTTGGTCTACCAACAATGTCATTTGTTACAACTCCTTTCACAAGGATCGCTTTAACTCTATAGACCTTTCCTAAATCAACACTAACATATGTAAATGCTTCTTGTTTTCCACACCAACCTGTGACGGAATTCAATCTTACATTTTTTGCCTCATAATTTGGTCTTTCACTGGTAGCATTAATAGATGAATCAGGAATTTTTCCAGAAGCTAATCCAAGAGGACGAACGACTTTGCATTCAGGATCTCGAACACAAGTAATAGGCCGTGGATTAATTAATATAAATCCTGGCCTAATGCAACTGAAAGATACCTCTGAACCCTGCTCATAACTTCTTGCTATTTGATATCCGTCACTGGGACGCCCTGGGTCTTCACAAACTGGCCCTTCACATCGTAAATCTCCAAAATCCCATACACCATTTGCTTGACATCTGACCACATTATCATGTTTACTGCTTTGGCCAGCTAGTTTGAACGTATTTTGACATCCAAAGAAAAAGGAGGATTGGTATTTTGTATCAACATACTGTCCATATTCTGCCCCAGGTGTTGGAATAGGTATTCCACAATTAACTCTAGGACAAGATGGACTGGTTCCACTAAGCCAATAGTCAGGTAATCCCTAGATTGATATAAATATTAATGAAATAGGTATAGTAAAAGTAAATGTACTGGATGTGCAAATATCTCATGTACATGGAACTACCACTAGGGACCAAAGCAACACGATTTAACAAAACTTACTTCTATCCAAAGTTAGCTGCTAGACGTCGATAAAGCCGAGAAATTTTTTTCCAAATAACTACAACGCTAATTTAAATTTTGTATACCAGTTTATTAATATCATATTTTGACATAGTAACTGAAGTAATTACATTTAGAGGCATGGAAAAAATATTTACAGTGGTTTGCACCAGTTGTGGTTAAGTTGTTGTTAAATTTAACTTTTAATTATATCTGAAATTTCTTTGCACCAATAAATTTAACTATAGATTATGAATTAAGCCGTTGTTAAAATTAAGCCATGGATGAGGTTAGTTTTACCTTATTTTGAAATTGAGACTAGAATTTTAATAATATACAGTTATTGTGTTTAATACAGTATAAAAAAGGTAGATTTATTTCCTGAGATTGTTGAAGTAGATGAGGATGACTTGGAAGTTCTTACTTTTATACAGTTTGATGTTCCTCGTCAAATTTATGAAAGAGAAAATCACTTTCACACAATGGATGCAAGTACTTTTAGAAAACGATTTCGACTTACTAAGGAAACGGTACAACATATTTTAGTCCAGATAGAAGATCAACTAGAATATCGATATGATTTGTAAGTAAACATCACAGACATAAACATATTGAAATAAACCATAAATCTATAACAAATGACTTTTTAATTTGTTGCAAATTTTCCAAGAGTGATTGGTGCAGTTGATGGCACTCATTGCAGAATAATTTCTCCAAGTAATGTACTTTCCTGAAAAATATTATTTGTATTTACAGTGGTTTTACAGGAGGTGACGATCCAGAAGTCTTTAGAAATAGAAAGGGCTACTTTTCGATTAATGCTCAATTTATCTGCGATTCAAGATTGCAATATTAAATGTAGTAGCTAGATGGCCAGGAAGTACCCATGATTCTACAATTTTTAATAATAGCCGTCTGAGGCTGGATTTGAAAATAACCAATATCGAAATTGTTTACTGATAGGTAGCTATATGAAAGTGTTTATTATTAACATTATTCATTCTGTATTTTATAAACTTTTAGGGGACAATGGATATGCTAATAAAGCATACTTATTGACAACTTTGCTGCTACCTGTCATAGAGGCTGATAGAAGATATAATCAAAGCCATATTTGTACAAGAAATGTAATCAAAAGGTTGTTTGGTGTTTTGAAGAGGTGTTTTCCTATACTCTCTTATGGCTGCAGATTAAAAGTAGACACATTTTTAACAATCATCATATCCACATCAGTACTTCATAATATTGCATTAAATGTGGGAGACGAAGAAGCACCACCTTTACCACATGAATTGGAAGATCATTTACTTAATCTCCTAATACAAAATGGCCAAATTCCCAATGTTAACGAAGAAGTTGGTGATGAAGTAGCCAGTACTACAAGAGTGGCTTTAATAAATGATTATTTTCATAATCTTCCAATAATTCCAAATATTTAATATACAAAAAGAATGTTATACATCTTAAGTATTAATCAAAGTAAATTAAAAAATAAATCTTTAAAATTGATTTTATTTTGTTGCAGTAAAAGCTACTGTCAACACTCATTATTGCTGATTTTTTAAATATTTCTACATAATTGAACAATGAATCATGTTTATAATATGTAATGTAATGTACATACTAATGTCACTGATAATAAGAAATAATGTAAATAATACAAAATATTATCAACAATATTTATATTTTATTTAACAGGAACTAAATATGTAGTATGAAACATTTTATAAACAAATACTGAAAACAAAGAGTATGAAATAGCTATTGATTTTGATTCACTGCACGTAATGCCGTTATTTGGGCCTTTTTTATCTCCACATTGAGCTCAAGAGCTTTCTTTGTTAATTCAAATTGTTCTTTCTCTCTCTCTTTTCTTGTAGCTGCCGACGTTTTCTCTCTCATTCATTTTTTTCTTCTAATTCTGCTTTTTCTGCTTGCATAATATTTCGATGACATTGCAGCACTTCTTTTTTTATTTCTGCTACTTCTTATATCGCAAAGCGATGTTTGCTATTTTTGATAATTCAGGTCTTCGCCTACTGCTCCACTTATTATTCGCAGAATTGTCTACTCTCTTCTGCTTTCTATTTAAAATAGATGTTTCCGATATGTGAGAAATATGGTCATCAGTACATATATTTTACTGGAAAATAAAAATTATACATATATATATATATATATATATATATTCCACAAAATTTAAAAAATAAAATACATGTTACTTGTTTTTAGGTTGAAATGATCTGGTTGCTAGTATAGCCACTGAAAAAGCTTTGTTAATGCCAGAGATCTGATTCTCAACTATACAAATGTATCTGTTTTAGCCCTATTATTTATCTTTACTGAAAGAGATCCGTAAAAAGGAATATTTAGAGTGGTCAAGAATGAGCCATAAAATAAATGAGAGTTTTGATAAGTACCTTACATATTTAACCGACATTAACTCCTCCTTTTTACTTTAAAACTATTTATTTCACTATTTCGTAATTACATCTGAAGTTTCTCCATTTTCCATTTCTAAAACAATTATTTCACTTTCTATTCCATCACATTCTCCTCAATTACATATTGGTCTGTTTTTGTCCTTCCTTCACATTTGCAATTGCAGAAGTGCAATTACTCTAAACACATTACAAATTCAGTAAAAACATTTATTACTAAATATGAATACTTACATCGCCATCAAATTTATTTTTCAGTCCACCAGTTTTGTTCATTTCACACCTCAAATTTCATGCATATTTGCGTGTCTTTCTTTTTATTACTGTAAAATCTTTTTATAACATCCACAGATCTATAAGTTGATGATGTGGAATTGAATTCTTTTTCTAGATATCCACGCATCCTCCTTGGATTTCCATGAGCGGACCCCAGTTTCTTTGTTCTCAATAACATGTTTATATTTTTTTATTATATTCAGAAGATAAAGTTTTTCTTCAGTACTAAAATTGGAGGAACGTGGACGCTTTATTCCACGATTTTTGCTCATCTTGTGGCTTTAATAATCATTGGATTTCAAATTTTCACACGCTGCTAATAACCACAATAATAACTTTGGCAACAAATACGAAAAGAAATCGCAATATTTTGTGAAACAATTGTTTAAAATAATTTTTCAGGTTATGATGCAGACAATATAGCCAATAGAAAATGCAGATTTCACAAAAACCCTGTAGTCAATTGTAGCCAACATATGCTACTTAATTTTAAACCTCAGTTTGTTAAGTAAAGATATAATACTCGCTGGTGCAAAGTCTTTCATGTTTAAACCATAATTAAAGTTAACTTGTGGTTACTAAATCCAAAAGTTAATTCACAACGGTGCAAACGGCTGTTAGACCCTTAAGACGAGGAATTCTGCCATCACAATAACCTTGGCGCTATTTGTACCCTACTTCGAATAAAATTGTTAATTTATATTGTGTCCCAAGACACTAGTTTTGAGTATGCTTGTTATTTGTTCTTCTAAACAACATGTGTCGCTGAATTAGATCGTGATTCCTTATTGGGCAGTGCTTGCGTTTTCTTACTTTTTATTTTTAAAATATAAAATTTAATTCAAAAATTACATTTTTCTTGTTTTTGAGGAGAAATCTAGGTATTGTATCATCGAAGGCAGTATAAAAAGCACCAAGTTGATCTACTTTAGTAAAAAATCGTTCAATGATAGAACAGTCCTAAAATTTTAACACCCCATATTTTCGCAACGGAACATTTTTAGACCATAGTTTATAAAGCAAAGTATCATTAATTTTCCATGTAGAATCACACCCATAAATAATCACATATCATTGCGTTTTGCTATTTCGTAAATATCTTAAACACCCTTTACCCAATTTTGTTGTAATTTGGCAGTGTCATTTGTAGTGTTAAGAGGAGAATTTAACCCTATTTTGATTAGATTTATTAAGTCCAGTGGCGAAAAAAATGTACGCTACTAACTTTTTTGTAATTTTTATATATTTTTTGGATTAAGCAACTAAAAATACTACTTTTTCGTCTGTGTTTTTCGTACCTTGATTAATTTTTGGAGAAAAAAAATAAAATCCACTTAATTGCATATCCCTGGACCAATCAAGAAACATGGGGAAAAATAGGAAATAATTAAGGGTTGCCTTGTAAAACTATTACAGCCTTTGATTAACAACTTGACAGCTGTTGTCAAATTATTAAGCAATTAATTTGTAATTTTTATAAAAAGTATTTTTCGCGATTATTTTTCGAATTATTTTTGGTCCAACATGGTTCAGTTTACTAATAGTGAAATGCCAGATATGGTTTTATGTTAATTCAGTTATTATTTTTCCGCCATCACTTATGGGCCGAAAACAAAATCCACACGCCTTAATAGAAAATTATTTTCAAGAACAGTTTTCTTTTAATATTTGGGTTGGAATTTTCAGTGACCACCTCATTGGGCCTAATTTTTTTCCACATAGAGTTAATGGGGAAGAATACCGAAGGTTTTTAGAATTTGTTTTACCTGGACTTTTAGAAGAAGTTCCAGTCTCGAAAAGATTTTGTATGTCGTACATGCACGACCGCACTTTAGTCTAGTGGCGCCGCAAGTTTTTGAGTGAAAATTACCATAACCGTTGGATTGGCAGAGCAGGCCCACAACCACGGCCTCGCCCGATATGAATCCCCTAGATTATTTTCTCTGGGGACACATTAAAGCGTTGGTATATAAAACTCCTATTGAAAGTGAAGAGGATCTATGAAATAGAATCATTAATTCATGTAACAATAAAATATACGCCAGGTATTATCGGAAGAGTGCGTAATTCAATGATGAGGCGGCTAGACAGTTGTATTGAAACCGAAGGGGGCCATTTCCAACGCTTAATTTAGTAAAATTCGTTTGTTTAGATGTTAAGA